GTCTCTCTTGAGGTCCTGCGTGGCACAGACGCGTATCGTTGCGACAGCTGCGTGTCCTGTCTGAAGAGAAGGGCGTGGCGGTGTCGATGGCATTTCGCCCGCCCTCCGTACCGCAACGGAAGTATTCCTAAAGGGCTGATGTGGTGTTGAAAATGAAGCTGTCGTGCGATGCGTCCCGACCTCGCTAGAGCATGGGCGTGTTGGCGCTCTTTAGCCTCCCCTGCTTGTTCGTTTCGCGGTGCCTCTATCGCACGCCTTCTCCTCCTCCTCCGCTCTCTTTCTTTGTATGAGTGAGTGTCTGTGCGCGCGCAACAACGGCGAAGCTAAAGAGCGACCATTTTGTGTGATCAGAACTGTGTTGCTGCGATAAAGACGAGGGAAGGAGAGAACGGGAGTCACTCTCCTTGAAAACATCCACTACGAAAGAATGGGGGGAGGCGAACCAGCAGTCGTAGAACACAGGTTTTCTTTTTAGTTCAACGAACTCCGTATTTGTCGCGGTCGTGTAATCGCTAACTGCGTCGTGAGACGTCTTCATCGCGCCATGCTCACCAGCAGTCAGCAGCCTGACAGGGAGGGCAGCTTGACAGACGCGACGAGCATCGATGAGATGGGCGGCTGGGCCACGGTGGCGGAGGCGCTGTTAATGGACTGCGCGCGTGTCACTCTTCTCGATGTGGCAGAGCCTTCCGCACGGCAGGCCATCGCAGCGGAGTGCACAGAGTCTCTTTCACAGTTGGTGCAGCGGCACTTGGCGATGGCCGCCGCAACGCACCGACGCGAGGTGGCAGCGGAGGAAAGACAGAGTGAGGAACTCACCCATCAGCTGCACACGGTGGTGCAGGAGTGCGAGTCGATGGGCGAGCAGCTCGTGATAGAGCGCACGACGCGAGCGGCAACGGAGGAGGAACTGCAGGCGGTGCAAGACGAACGCGAGGCCTTACATGCGGAGCGGGCGGCTGTATGGCATCTCGTGCGCGATGCGGTCATGTCAGCGAGTCATCGCCGCAACCTTGTGAGCCCGGCGAACGCCACGCTGGAAGACCACGTACGGTACCTGTGCCGTTGGGTGAGGGAGACGGCGGAGACGGTGCAAGGGAACGCGACGTCGGCGGTGACGACGGTCGCCCCCGCCGTGCAGCGCGACGAGCCGCCGGCCTCCATTTTTCAGTCGCCGCGCGCGTCGTACCACCGCCTTTTGCCCTCTGCCCCCCTCAACCCGGTGACGGCGTCGCTGCTCCGTGTCAAGGAACAAGTTCAGCAGCTGCGAGGCCCCTCCGTGGCTCAGTTACAGCAGGCCGTCGGCGCCCACCGGCCTCTCAGAGAAGAAGCCGTGGCCACCACGCCTCCTACACAAAGGCGGCCGGCAACAGCAGCCGCAGCGGCGATAGCGGCGACAACGACGCAGCTGTCTGCCGATCGAGCGCTCGCTTTATCCCGCTCCTACACGCCCCGTCGCAGCACGGCCACTGTACTGCGTCACGGTTCAGCGGACAACAACGGTGGCAGCAATGTCAACGACGGGGTCTCCTCGCCGCCGTGGCGTACGCACATGGCGAAGTTGCAGCAGGAATTGAAGGGCCTCCGCCGCGACCTGCACACCGCGACGCCACGCAGCTAAGCACGCCACTCTATGTGCTTGTGTGTTAGGTGTTTTTGATGAGCTTCGTGTGTTGGTATGGTTGTGGTTGCCCAACTGGTGCAGATGGAGTAGGCGAGGTAGCCAAACGGGGCGGAGTGATCGGTACTGCTCACTGACGTGAGCACCAAAGGAACACATAAGGAAGTGGTTGAAGTCGCGTTTCAGCGTAGGCACGAAAAGCACAGGGCAGCGTGTCACGTCGCACCGCGGGAAGAGTGGCTCGGCACGTTATCGTTGTCGATCCGAGCCTTCGACTATGTGGCGGTGTCTCCCTTGTTGGGTGAACTTGGGCGTAACGCGTACGAGGACGACGCCTCTCTTCTACGAAATGGATCGAACCTCTCCTCGTATGTTTACGAATGCACGTGTAGTTGGTGTGTCTGCTCTCTCTCTCTCTCTCTCTCTCTCATACCGTGGCGCATCGCATGTTACGCAGCTTACGCACGTGATTGCCGCGCAGAGCGTCACGCTCGCACGCACGAAAAGGAAGTTCTTTCATTTTCTAATGCCTCACACGAATATGCACCCGCCGTCTGAAAACGGTGTGACGGAACTCGTGCCGTTGAAGGGCCACGTCTGCCTGCCTGGTGAGCCCGTCTTGCTGGTGCAGCCGAACGCCGTTGTCGCCATCGGCGGGGGACTGCGGCCGCTGGCCCAGCCGAGCAGCTCCGCCGTCGCAGACGCCGCCGCCGTTCACGACGTGACGGATGTTTTCCTCGCTGAGTACTGCGCCCCCCTTCAGCGCTCCACCCACCACCTCCACACACACGTGCCGCGGTACACCGTGACCACCCCAGCCAGTCGCCGCTACTCCCCGCGTCCGGGCGACCCGATTATCGCCGTGATCGCACGCAAGGTCAGCCAGCATTACTACTACTGCTACATCGGCGGCGCGGCACTGGCTTACATGGACGCCGTGGCTTTTGACGGCGCCACCAAGGTCAGTCGACCGCGGGTGTCGGAAGGGGATTTGGTCTACTGCTACGTGAAGCCGCGCACGACAGCAGCGTACGTGGACGGCGCCGCGGCAGCAGGAAGCAGCGGGACAGCCGCAAGTGCGGGTGGGGAAGTCGAGGTGGCCTGCACGGCGGCGGACGTCGGGTTGCCGCCGAAGGACTGGACGTCAGGGGAGGCGGTCTTCGGCCCGCTGCACGGCGGTCGTGTGCTGACGCTGCCGCTGCCCTACGTGCGACGCCTGCTGGCACCGCTCCCCGCCTCGGCCAGCGGTGATGCTCCGCAGCGCAAACGGGCTCGTGTGGAGGGGAGCGGCGCCGACGAGTTGCCCGCCTCGTACCTTCTTCAGCTGCTCGGCCGCCGAGTTCCTTTTGAGGTTGCTGTTGGTCTGAATGGACTCGTGTGGGTGCGGGGGCTGTCCAGTGAGGCGGACGCCACCGTCGCCGCACGGCGCACCGTGGCCGTGAGTGCGTGCATTGCAGAGGCGCAATACGACGTGACACAGGCCGAGATGGAGGCACGCGTAGAGGCGTACTTTCCTTCCTAAGGCAACCAAAGGAAAGAAAGGGAAATACCTGAGCAGTAGTTTGCGGATGTGTCTGCGTTTGCGGCGAGAAAGGGCGCGAGTGGTTTAATTAATCGTGTGAGGGCTTCTGATCCCCGTCAACTCCTGCCTTTCTTTTCGGAAAGCGCTTTTGCGTGGCCCCATCTTGCCTTGTTTACTGCGGTAGAAGAGAAAAAGGAGGGGGAGGTGTGGTGGAAGCACTTAGCTTTCGGCTAGTTTGATCGTTTAAGAAACACGTCTTAACGGAAGTTCTCAGTTGCTGTTGTTTTCTCCAAAGCCTTTTCTTTGCGTCTTCAGTTGCACTGCACAAGAACTCGCATCTGCTCCATGAGTGTAACTCTCCGCACTCGTGGCTTGCCTGAGTCGCCTAGGCTTTCAATGGAGTCGGAAACAAGGCAAGGGAAAGGCATACGTAGCACTGCTGCTCCGACTTCACCGGATGCAGCTGCTTTGGAAAAAAGAAAAGAAAATGCATCGACAACTGTGTTTTCACATACCGATCCTCACTCGCTTGTCTTGACAGGTCTTGCGAGGTGGACAACCTGTCATCGTTACCAATTCCCTTCCTCTTCCTCTCTCTTCCGCTGCTTCTTCTTCGCCTCATCGGTGGGTCCAAGTTTTTCTTTGACTCTTCCTTCGTTGCTCAGAGTGCCTCATCCGCTTCCTCTCACACCCGCGCATACCCCGCTCCGTCGCTTCCACACGCACACTCCTTCATTTGGACCAGTTTGATTCAGCAGCGGTGATCTCTCACTGTCTCGTAAGTTTCCAGCTGCTGTTTTCTATCCTGCTCTACAGCTCGCCGCCGTAACTACAAGAGCTCTCGAACTCGAGAGACGAACGTGTCTTGTTGTCTGACATTGCCGCGGCAAAATCGATCCAAGAAGAGGGAGAGAGAGCAGTCGGTGTGCACACCGTTGTCACCGTCGTCGTCATTGTTTTTCTTTTCTTTCCTTTGATTGTTCCTCGACCGTGACGGTGCGTCCCCCCTTTTCACTTCCTCTCTCCTCTCTTGTGAGTGCTTACGTCGTAGTAGCCGTTGTGCTGTTGCTGCCCCTCTTCTTTTACTTTTTCTCTGTAGCTCTCTCGCCACGATGCCCGACTTTAGCCAATTCATCAAGTACCTGAACGCCAACTTGTCAGCGCCCACCTTCCAAAGTGTTGCGCAGACCAGCGTCGGTGGCAAAGGCGTCTCCAGCCCCAACGGCACCACCGAGAACTTCAGCGGAGCGGCGCACAGCGACACCTCCGCGTTCTTGCGGTCATGCGACACGACATGGCGCATGTTGCTGCCAAGCGACGCCGCGGCAAAGGAAAGCAACGCCCGCTCCAGCGCTGCTGCCGCGACGGCCGCGGCCCATCAGACCCCGTCGCACCCGACTGTCACGGTGGGCCGCATGATGGTGTCGACCGAGGACCGCTGGCGTATTCAAGTTCAGATGCGGCGTGAGGAGGCCCGGAGCGGGCAGGCGCGTAAGGAGTACAACAAAAAGGTTACCCGCGCCATCAAGGTGACCAAGGGGCCGTCGGACAACGCCTTCCCACCCGGCCGTGGCCGTCCGCTGTAGGCGGTTGGATCGTTCCTTCTGTTCCTAAGTACCGCTGAGTAGCGGTCCTTGTCTTCCTCCTACTCCGCTGTATCTAACGCAGCCAGGGAAAAATGTGTTTGGGAAGTCTGCCCCTGTTTCGGTGTCTCCGTAAACCGAAAAGGAAAAGAATAACTTATCGAGCGCTCTCCCCATCTTTCTCCCCTCACCTTCTAATGAAGTGATGTGTGTGTGAAGTTGCATGTAGTTTTACGTAAGTGTGATTGGGGGCGGGGGGGGGGGCAGCTGGGAAACATCGAAGCGTTAATGAAGCGGTAGAGGCGCGCAGTGACGGCGAATCTGCCAAAACACGTTTCCCTCCACACATGCAATACCGCGCCTATGCGCTTCAGCGCAATTGTGTCCTCCTCACTGCCGTCTTCGCTTACTGTGTTTTAGCAACTCTCGATCTGCATCGATAGGTCATCTGTACTTGATAGATATTGGCGCTGGGTTTTTTTTAATATAGTCGGTTTCCTTACTATACGCTGTGCGGCGACATAGATAGTAAGCATCGGAGTTTGCTGCACTTTAATAGCGCACCCCACGAACATTTCTTCCTGTTCGCACATAGATCTATTTGTAACCTTTCCTCCTTTGTTTCTTTCACCGTCGATAGACAGCAATAAATATATATATATATGTCAGACGACGCCCACAAGTGTGACGCGCACCTCAGCACGGTGGTGTTGTCGCCTGATGCGTCGCCAGGCGGAGAGGCGGCAGAGGCGCACGTGACACCCACGCCGGCTGACGACGAAGAACTCTCTCTCGTCGATCTACTTCTGCGGGCCTCCGAGACAATTCGTGCGGAGCGGGCGCGGGCGGACGCCGTTGAATACGAAAACGGCATCTTGCGAGCTCAGCTTGACGGGGTGCGGGCAGCCTACCACCGCGCAACCGCGCAGCACGGTATCTCCGACGAGCTGTTGAGGTACGTGGAGAGATACGTCGTACCAGAGGAGGTGGGCACCCGGTCTCCGCGTGCTGCCAGCGGCAACGAACCCCCGCCACGTCACCGCAGTTGCAGCAAGACAGCGGTTGCAGCCCACGCCGGTTCATCCGCGTCCTCAGTCGCTCGTGCACCCTCGCGTGCCTCCGTCACGGCGACAACGCAAAGCTACAGAAAAGGATGGGAGGCCACTGCTGCAGCCTCGCCGCCGGTCGAAGCGGAGACAGGGAGGGAGCCCACGCCCGCATCGTTCTCGCGACCACGCCAGGCACCAACGGCAGCAGCGGACGTGGCGGACTCGCCAGAGACGTCTCCTCGTACGTTGCCCCTTCACGACGACAGCAAAGAAAACCGTCAGCAACAAAGGGGCAGCCAGCCCAGCATTTCCGTGCAGACCATGGCGTGTCGCCTGCGCCGTGCCCTCGCCCCGCGTCCTACGGAGACGGTAGTGGACGACATAATCCACTCGATGGTGACTGCCCTGCAGAGAGACGTGCAGGCGAAACTGGAGGACCAGTGCGTCAGCGCACCGCCGAGTCGACTGCGCGGATTTGCGTTGGTGCGGGTGCGGCCGTGCGTGTACCGAATTCTCTCGGGACCTCCCGCGGAGGTGAAGGCCATCGCACGCAGCCGCGGTGCGGATGGAACGGCCGCCCTGCGAAGCAGCACTTCTCCCCTCACCGCCTTCCCGTTCCGTCTTAATTATCTTCCGCACCAGGCATCAAGGGGCCATCAGAAAACTCTATCGTCGCTCGCAGAGACGCAGCCGCAGGTGCGTTCGGTGGTGGTGCACCTAGCCGTTGACAGCGGGGCCTTGCGTGTTGTGCGTGGTGGTGGCCATGTGGACTTCGTCGAGTTTCTGGAGAGATTCCTCCGCATTAAACTCGGGGGACCATAAACACTCCGACCTCGCGCGGGAAACTCTTTCGTTTCTGTTTTTCTTTTCCTTTCCCCTTTCCTCATTCAAAACATCGTTGCTGCCTGTGCGCTGTTTCGGAAACGAACGGATAGGTACCGTAAAAGTCAAGAAGAGGCCGATGAGCACGAGCGCCAAAAGCACGCACACCGGCCGGCGGCGCACCGGTTTACCCTGCATCCCTTATAAGTCCTACCTCATTCATCTCGCTACAATAGAGGACTTCATCAGTCATCACCTTTCTTCGCTACTTGCACAGCTACTGCACGGGCATCCACCAGAGAACACCCCATGTGGCTCATCTTCTACAACGCGGCCAACGTTCAACCGTCAACCTGCAGCCGACAACTTCTCAATCGACGGAAGTTGGCACCTCTTTCCCACCTTTCAACGCGCCACTGACCAGTCATGAACATTCTAGCCCGACCACCGCCAATCCTTCCCTCCAGACCGCGCCACCCTACAACCCCCCCCCTCTTTACGCGTCCAGTAGGCGATGAACGGCTCTGGTCCGCCGCCGCTCTTCTTCTGCACTTTCCCCTCGCCCCTCCCTCCCTCTCTCCCTCTCTCTCTCTCGTGCTCCACCCACGTACACGCCGCGCATGCGACCTCCGCAGATCCAAAAGCTAACAGCTTCGCCTTTCCGCAATCCACACTCAATACACCCACGTCCACACAGCAACCTATACGCAAACGCTAAAAGAGGGAAAAGAACAAAAACACCGCCCACGATGACCCCCTCCTCTCCACGCCGCTGCGCTGTTGCGCTGCTGTGCGCCGCACTGGTGCTCGCCGCCGTGTGCGCGCGTGCCGCCTCCATCGTCGTCAATGGCGACATCTCCCAGTCCGGCGACACCTTCAACGGTGACAAAATCACCTTCGAACTCGACTCCGTCAGGGCGGACGTCGTGACGGTGCAGCTGATGAACTCGAAGGTCGCGGGCGACGGTCTGACCATCCAGGGCTACATCAACTCCGTGCCGGCAGCCGTGACCACGCGCATCAGCATGAGCGTCACCTCCACCACTGTCACCAGCTCCGTCATCGCCTTCACCGACTACATGCCGCCAAACTCCGACATCCGCCTGGCCGCCACCACCGGCACACTGACCGCCGCGCAGTCGCTGTTCGACTTCAGCGGCCTCACACTGGAGAAGAACGTGACCGTCACGGTGGAGGAGTCCAGCGTCACGTGGCCCAGCGGGTCCACCAACACCGGCAGCATCGTCACGTACAACTCCGGCGGCAGCGGCTCGAGCATCAGCAAGAACAGCGCGCTCTTCATCCTCAACGCCACCGCCACCAACGGCGCGTCGGTGCTGCACATCAGCACGGGCTCCGTCTTCCCCGTCTCGGACAGCAGCGTGCTGGCGGTTGACTACGGCCATTGCATCGGCTGCAGCAGCGCGATGGTCGACATCGGCGTTGCGCTGCAGGTGGACGGCTCCAGCGTGTTCCGTGTCACGAAGAGCACCGTGGTGGGCGGCGACAAGGGCCTGCTCAGCTCCACCGGCGAGGTCAGCGTGACCGATCAGTCGCTGTACCTGATTGCCGACTGCATCATCGAGGCCGGCAGCTTCTTCAACTTCGCCGACTCCGGTGACACCGCTTTCAAGTTCGTTGTGACCCAGTCCACCGTGTCTTTCCTCGACCTCGTGGGGCCCAGCACCGGCATTCTCAGCCCCAAGGTCGTCCCCACCACCAACGACGGCACTGGCGTCGTCATCGCCGGCGGCTGCACCATCGCCGACACCGCCCTAACCACCATAGACGCCTACAGGGAGAAGGGGATCGATGCGACCAAGGTGGTGGACAGCAACGGCGCCGCCGACAGCACCTGCGCCAACGCCCAGTGCGTGCCCGGCCACTCCAAGCCCGGCTCCCCCGAGGAGGCCGGCATCGAGTGCTCCTGCACCTGCACTGAGAGGGCCTACAACCCGCCCGCCTGCACCACCGCCAGCGACCCCACGCAGACCTACGACGACACCGCCACGTGCACGGTCCTGAACTGCGCCACCTGCGACCGCCTCTATCCGAGCTCGCGCTGCACGCAGTGCAACCCCGGCTACGAGCTCTCCCCCACCTACCAGTGCGACGCAACCACCACCACCACCACCACCACCACGACCACCACCGCCGTGTGCAACGTGCAGTATTGCATAAAGTGCGACCCCAATGACGGCTCCAAATGCACCACGTGCCGCAACGGCTACAAACTCGTCAGCGGCTCCTGCATCGCCAACATCGACGGTGCCGCCGCCGTGCAGTCCGTCCTGCTCGCAGCGGCGGTGTGCGTCGCTGCCGTCTACACCCTGTAGGCACGGCGCGTGCGCTTGTGTGCGTGCGTGTGTGTGAGCATGCGTACGTGTCCGCGCACCCCGACCTCACGCCCGCTGTCCGCGCCGGGCGTTTGTATGGGCATTACTTGCCATTTCCTCTCTTTCCTATTATTATTATTATTATTGTTTGTGCTCTCCGTACGGCCGTCCCCCGAATCCCCCTCGATGTATGTGGGGCAGCGTCCAACACGTCGCTTCTTGTTTTTGTTTTGCGAGTTTTTGTTTGTTTCCCCCTTCTTCTTTGTGTTCCTCTGCGGTGCGTGGTGCGGCCTCCGTTACGCGCACCTTTATGGCCTCTCCTGCTTTCCGTATCCGTCGTTGTCGAAGGTCAATGCTCTACTTCTGCGGTCCGCTGAGGTGGCGCAGCCCACGTTTCCGCCGGCTAGGTTCCGCGTCTTTTCGTTTCCTCTTCACTCGTGCGCTTGCGCACAAGGAGCAAATGTGAGAGGATCGATCTGTATTCCATGTATCGACGGTAGAAAATGCAGAAGAAAGAATGTACGTGGCAGGAGCAAGCCGTGCCGCGTCCTTCTTCTTTTCTTCTTTTACGGACGTGTTCTGGGGCTTCACTGCGACCTAGTCAACGTTGAAGAATATGGCTGAGGTTCCGCAGATGAGTCTGTCTGCGTGGCGCCCAAGCTTTTTCCCCTGAAGGCTACCGCATGTGTTCCCCTTGCGGTTTTCTCCTCTAATCGTTATCATTTCCGTTAGTGTTCAACCGTGTTTCTTCTCTCTTCCGGATGTTTTGCTAAGCGGGTCTTTGCAGGCGTCACTTTGCCTGGCCTTGCGGAGGGATTTCTTTGGATGGGTGAACTCCCTCATGTACGCCTCTCTTTCTTTTTGCGCAGGTGTCCTCACACGCCAACTCCGTCGCTGATGCGTTGCGATGTGTACTTTCCTCCTTGATCGTTTCACAGGAAAGATCTCGACGAGCATGTGGGACGATGTGCAGAGCCCCCCCCCCCCTGCTTTTTCTTTCTATTAGTTTGTGTGGTTTGTGTTTTCCGCACACGCGCGAACGCCAGCTACGTGTGCTTCCCGTGTGATTTTTCTCATTTCTTTTCTTCCGTTTTTGGAACTCACTTGAAATGAAAACGCTCTCTTCTTATTATTATGATTGTCAGCATTGCCGTTTATTGTCTCCACGTCCACCTGCGCACGCATTCCTTTCTCGACTCCCCCCTCAACTCTCTCTGCAGTCCTTGTGTTGTGGCTGTTCATGTTTCGCAGCCTAGTTGGTGAGGTGGGACGCACAAGCAACGCGAGTTCGACCTGTGCCGTGCTTCTGTATACATGGCGCCGCTGTGTAGTTCACGAGCTGACGACTGTTTATGTGGGACAGCGAAGGAAAGGAATGAAACGACAAGTTGCGTGTTGTTGTCGTGGCGAAGGGCGCTGAGGACAGAATAGCCATGCATGCCTTCTTTTATTACTACATTTCTCATATTAATTCTTCTATTTTATGGATGTTGACAAATATGATGAAGCACTTCTCTTCCTCTCATTTATGGTGATTGCTGGCAAACGTCCTCTCCTGGATGGCTTCACGTAACTCAGTGTTTAAAGGCCGGTTTTCGCTGAGGCGCCGCAATGCATTTTTGCACGTACGTACACACAACCCGAAGCAGCGCAGCGTCTTTTTTCATTATTGCTCCCTCTCTCTCATTTTCTTGTTTTCTGGTCTTTTCTTCGTACCCAGAGAATCGCGCAACCGTTCTTTTCCCCGTTCCCCTCCTGCGTTAAACAGAACACGCCGCCCAATGTATGTGTCTCTCAACGCTTCTTTACTAACATTTGTTTATGTGGCCGGTAAACCTCCTCTCTTCTTCGTTTGTGTTTCTTGACAAATCAATATATATGCTCTCTTCTCTCCTGCGTGCCCTTCTTGTCTTCCTGTCATGTGGCTCAAGTGAGCAACGCACACAGCAGGTGTTGCGTGTGTGTGGTGGCCGGCTACTTCTGGAAAATGGAGCCTGCAATGGCACTGTAAAGAACCGTGTCAAAAGGAGAAAGCGCCAAGAACGATGATAATAGTAGCGGAGCATTGGGGCTTCCGCGCCCACGGATGTGTTGTAGAGAGGCGGATCGCTCCGTTGATCAAATGCAGCGGTGTCGTCAAGGCGGCGTGTGGAAAGACAGCGCCCATGAAGACTTCCTGTTCGCACCGTGGTGATTCGCCCCGCCAGCACGCTTCTGTAGGCCTCGGCGGAACTCGTCGCAGGTGACTGGCGTGAGGCGCGGAAGCGAATATCGCCACCTCCGCACTACCTCGCATTCGCTGTTTTGCCCGCTGCGAAGCCGTCACAAGTGCTTCCTTTTGCATGGACGCAGACGCGCTCCGAGTCGGAGTAAAAGCAAGGTGCCTGATGGGGAAAAAGAAAGGCGGTGTCACTGTGGCAGCCATAAAAGGTGTCCAATCCTCTTCCCCCTCCCCCCTCTTTACGCGTCCAGTAGGCGATGAACGGCTCTGGTCCGCCGCCGCTCTTCTTCTGCACTTTCCCCTCGCCCCTCCCTCCCTCTCTCCCTCTCTCTCTCTCGTGCTCCACCCACGTACACGCCGCGCATGCGACCTCCGCAGATCCAAAAGCTAACAGCTTCGCCTTTCCGCAATCCACACTCAATACACCCACGTCCACACAGCAACCTATACGCAAACGCTAAAAGAGGGAAAAGAACAAAAACACCGCCCACGATGACCCCCTCCTCTCCACGCCGCTGCGCTGTTGCGCTGCTGTGCGCCGCACTGGTGCTCGCCGCCGTGTGCGCGCGTGCCGCCTCCATCGTCGTCAATGGCGACATCTCCCAGTCCGGCGACACCTTCAACGGTGACAAAATCACCTTCGAACTCGACTCCGTCAGGGCGGACGTCGTGACGGTGCAGCTGATGAACTCGAAGGTCGCGGGCGACGGTCTGACCATCCAGGGCTACATCAACTCCGTGCCGGCAGCCGTGACCACGCGCATCAGCATGAGCGTCACCTCCACCACTGTCACCAGCTCCGTCATCGCCTTCACCGACTACATGCCGCCAAACTCCGACATCCGCCTGGCCGCCACCACCGGCACACTGACCGCCGCGCAGTCGCTGTTCGACTTCAGCGGCCTCACACTGGAGAAGAACGTGACCGTCACGGTGGAGGAGTCCAGCGTCACGTGGCCCAGCGGGTCCACCAACACCGGCAGCATCGTCACGTACAACTCCGGCGGCAGCGGCTCGAGCATCAGCAAGAACAGCGCGCTCTTCATCCTCAACGCCACCGCCACCAACGGCGCGTCGGTGCTGCACATCAGCACGGGCTCCGTCTTCCCCGTCTCGGACAGCAGCGTGCTGGCGGTTGACTACGGCCATTGCATCGGCTGCAGCAGCGCGATGGTCGACATCGGCGTTGCGCTGCAGGTGGACGGCTCCAGCGTGTTCCGTGTCACGAAGAGCACCGTGGTGGGCGGCGACAAGGGCCTGCTCAGCTCCACCGGCGAGGTCAGCGTGACCGATCAGTCGCTGTACCTGATTGCCGACTGCATCATCGAGGCCGGCAGCTTCTTCAACTTCGCCGACTCCGGTGACACCGCTTTCAAGTTCGTTGTGACCCAGTCCACCGTGTCTTTCCTCGACCTCGTGGGGCCCAGCACCGGCATTCTCAGCCCCAAGGTCGTCCCCACCACCAACGACGGCACTGGCGTCGTCATCGCCGGCGGCTGCACCATCGCCGACACCGCCCTAACCACCATAGACGCCTACAGGGAGAAGGGGATCGATGCGACCAAGGTGGTGGACAGCAACGGCGCCGCCGACAGCACCTGCGCCAACGCCCAGTGCGTGCCCGGCCACTCCAAGCCCGGCTCCCCCGAGGAGGCCGGCATCGAGTGCTCCTGCACCTGCACTGAGAGGGCCTACAACCCGCCCGCCTGCACCACCGCCAGCGACCCCACGCAGACCTACGACGACACCGCCACGTGCACGGTCCTGAACTGCGCCACCTGCGACCGCCTCTATCCGAGCTCGCGCTGCACGCAGTGCAACCCCGGCTACGAGCTCTCCCCCACCTACCAGTGCGACGCAACCACCACCACCACCACCACCACCACGACCACCACCGCCGTGTGCAACGTGCAGTATTGCATAAAGTGCGACCCCAATGACGGCTCCAAATGCACCACGTGCCGCAACGGCTACAAACTCGTCAGCGGCTCCTGCATCGCCAACATCGACGGTGCCGCCGCCGTGCAGTCCGTCCTGCTCGCAGCGGCGGTGTGCGTCGCTGCCGTCTACACCCTGTAGGCACGGCGCGTGCGCTTGTGTGCGTGCGTGTGTGTGAGCATGCGTACGTGTCCGCGCACCCCGACCTCACGCCCGCTGTCCGCGCCGGGCGTTTGTATGGGCATTACTTGCCATTTCCTCTCTTTCCTATTATTATTATTATTATTGTTTGTGCTCTCCGTACGGCCGTCCCCCGAATCCCCCTCGATGTATGTGGGGCAGCGTCCAACACGTCGCTTCTTGTTTTTGTTTTGCGAGTTTTTGTTTGTTTCCCCCTTCTTCTTTGTGTTCCTCTGCGGTGCGTGGTGCGGCCTCCGTTACGCGCACCTTTATGGCCTCTCCTGCTTTCCGTATCCGTCGTTGTCGAAGGTCAATGCTCTACTTCTGCGGTCCGCTGAGGTGGCGCAGCCCACGTTTCCGCCGGCTAGGTTCCGCGTCTTTTCGTTTCCTCTTCACTCGTGCGCTTGCGCACAAGGAGCAAATGTGAGAGGATCGATCTGTATTCCATGTATCGACGGTAGAAAATGCAGAAGAAAGAATGTACGTGGCAGGAGCAAGCCGTGCCGCGTCCTTCTTCTTTTCTTCTTTTACGGACGTGTTCTGGGGCTTCACTGCGACCTAGTCAACGTTGAAGAATATGGCTGAGGTTCCGCAGATGAGTCTGTCTGCGTGGCGCCCAAGCTTTTTCCCCTGAAGGCTACCGCATGTGTTCCCCTTGCGGTTTTCTCCTCTAATCGTTATCATTTCCGTTAGTGTTCAACCGTGTTTCTTCTCTCTTCCGGATGTTTTGCTAAGCGGGTCTTTGCAGGCGTCACTTTGCCTGGCCTTGCGGAGGGATTTCTTTGGATGGGTGAACTCCCTCATGTACGCCTCTCTTTCTTTTTGCGCAGGTGTCCTCACACGCCAACTCCGTCGCTGATGCGTTGCGATGTGTACTTTCCTCCTTGATCGTTTCACAGGAAAGATCTCGACGAGCATGTGGGACGATGTGCAGAGCCCCCCCCCCCCTGCTTTTTCTTTCTATTAGTTTGTGTGGTTTGTGTTTTCCGCACACGCGCGAACGCCAGCTACGTGTGCTTCCCGTGTGATTTTTCTCATTTCTTTTCTTCCGTTTTTGGAACTCACTTGAAATGAAAACGCTCTCTTCTTATTATTATGATTGTCAGCATTGCCGTTTATTGTCTCCACGTCCACCTGCGCACGCATTCCTTTCTCGACTCCCCCCTCAACTCTCTCTGCAGTCCTTGTGTTGTGGCTGTTCATGTTTCGCAGCCTAGTTGGTGAGGTGGGACGCACAAGCAACGCGAGTTCGACCTGTGCCGTGCTTCTGTATACATGGCGCCGCTGTGTAGTTCACGAGCTGACGACTGTTTATGTGGGACAGCGAAGGAAAGGAATGAAACGACAAGTTGCGTGTTGTTGTCGTGGCGAAGGGCGCTGAGGACAGAATAGCCATGCATGCCTTCTTTTATTACTACATTTCTCATATTAATTCTTCTATTTTATGGATGTTGACAAATATGATGAAGCACTTCTCTTCCTCTCATTTATGGTGATTGCTGGCAAACGTCCTCTCCTGGATGGCTTCACGTAACTCAGTGTTTAAAGGCCGGTTTTCGCTGAGGCGCCGCAATGCATTTTTGCACGTACGTACACACAACCCGAAGCAGCGCAGCGTCTTTTTTCATTATTGCTCCCTCTCTCTCATTTTCTTGTTTTCTGGTCTTTTCTTCGTACCCAGAGAATCGCGCAACCGTTCTTTTCCCCGTTCCCCTCCTGCGTTAAACAGAACACGCCGCCCAATGTATGTGTCTCTCAACGCTTCTTTACTAACATTTGTTTATGTGGCCGGTAAACCTCCTCTCTTCTTCGTTTGTGTTTCTTGACAAATCAATATATATGCTCTCTTCTCTCCTGCGTGCCCTTCTTGTCTTCCTGTCATGTGGCTCAAGTGAGCAACGCACACAGCAGGTGTTGCGTGTGTGTGGTGGCCGGCTACTTCTGGAAAATGGAGCCTGCAATGGCACTGTAAAGAACCGTGTCAAAAGGAGAAAGCGCCAAGAACGATGATAATAGTAGCGGAGCATTGGGGCTTCCGCGCCCACGGATGTGTTGTAGAGAGGCGGATCGCTCCGTTGATCAAATGCAGCGGTGTCGTCAAGGCGGCGTGTGGAAAGACAGCGCCCATGAAGACTTCCTGTTCGCACCGTGGTGATTCGCCCCGCCAGCACGCTTCTGTAGGCCTCGGCGGAACTCGTCGCAGGTGACTGGCGTGAGGCGCGGAAGCGAATATCGCCACCTCCGCACTACCTCGCATTCGCTGTTTTGCCCGCTGCGAAGCCGTCACAAGTGCTTCCTTTTGCATGGACGCAGACGCGCTCCGAGTCGGAGTAAAAGCAAGGTGCCTGATGGGGAAAAAGAAAGGCGGTGTCACTGTGGCAGCCATAAAAGGTGTCCAATCCTCTTCCCCCTCCCCCCTCTTTACGCGTCCAGTAGGCGATGAACGGCTCTGGTCCGCCGCCGCTCTTCTTCTGCACTTTCCCCTCGCCCCTCCCTCCCTCTCTCCCTCTCTCTCTCTCGTGCTCCACCCACGTACACGCCGCGCATGCGACCTCCGCAGATCCAAAAGCTAACAGCTTCGCCTTTCCGCAATCCACACTCAATACACCCACGTCCACACAGCAACCTATACGCAAACGCTAAAAGAGGGAAAAGAACAAAAACACCGCCCACGATGACCCCCTCCTCTCCACGCCGCTGCGCTGTTGCGCTGCTGTGCGCCGCACTGGTGCTCGCCGCCGTGTGCGCGCGTGCCGCCTCCATCGTCGTCAATGGCGACATCTCCCAGTCCGGCGACACCTTCAACGGTGACAAAATCACCTTCGAACTCGACTCCGTCAGGGCGGACGTCGTGACGGTGCAGCTGATGAACTCGAAGGTCGCGGGCGACGGTCTGACCATCCAGGGCTACATCAACTCCGTGCCGGCAGCCGTGACCACGCGCATCAGCATGAGCGTCACCTCCACCACTGTCACCAGCTCCGTCATCGCCTTCACCGACTACATGCCGCCAAACTCCGACATCCGCCTGGCCGCCACCACCGGCACACTGACCGCCGCGCAGTCGCTGTTCGACTTCAGCGGCCTCACACTGGAGAAGAACGTGACCGTCACGGTGGAGGAGTCCAGCGTCACGTGGCCCAGCGGGTCCACCAACACCGGCAGCATCGTCACGTACAACTCCGGCGGCAGCGGCTCGAGCATCAGCAAGAACAGCGCGCTCTTCATCCTCAACGCCACCGCCACCAACGGCGCGTCGGTGCTGCACATCAGCACGGGCTCCGTCTTCCCCGTCTCGGACAGCAGCGTGCTGGCGGTTGACTACGGCCATTGCATCGGCTGCAGCAGCGCGATGGTCGACATCGGCGTTGCGCTGCAGGTGGACGGCTCCAGCGTGTTCCGTGTCACGAAGAGCACCGTGGTGGGCGGCGACAAGGGCCTGCTCAGCTCCACCGGCGAGGTCAGCGTGACCGATCAGTCGCTGTACCTGATTGCCGACTGCATCATCGAGGCCGGCAGCTTCTTCAACTTCGCCGACTCCGGTGACACCGCTTTCAAGTTCGTTGTGACCCAGTCCACCGTGTCTTTCCTCGACCTCGTGGGGCCCAGCACCGGCATTCTCAGCCCCAAGGTCGTCCCCACCACCAACGACGGCACTGGCGTCGTCATCGCCGGCGGCTGCACCATCGCCGACACCGCCCTAACCACCATAGACGCCTACAGGGAGAAGGGGATCGATGCGACCAAGGTGGTGGACAGCAACGGCGCCGCCGACAGCACCTGCGCCAACGCCCAGTGCGTGCCCGGCCACTCCAAGCCCGGCTCCCCCGAGGAGGCCGGCATCGAGTGCTCCTGCACCTGCACTGAGAGGGCCTACAACCCGCCCGCCTGCACCACCGCCAGCGACCCCACGCAGACCTACGACGACACCGCCACGTGCACGGTCCTGAACTGCGCCACCTGCGACCGCCTCTATCCGAGCTCGCGCTGCACGCAGTGCAACCCCGGCTACGAGCTCTCCCCCACCTACCAGTGCGACGCAACCACCACCACCACCACCACCACCACGACCACCACCGCCGTGTGCAACGTGCAGTATTGCATAAAGTGCGACCCCAATGACGGCTCCAAATGCACCACGTGCCGCAACGGCTACAAACTCGTCAGCGGCTCCTGCATCGCCAACATCGACGGTGCCGCCGCCGTGCAGTCCGTCCTGCTCGCAGCGGCGGTGTGCGTCGCTGCCGTCTACACCCTGTAGGCACGGCGCGTGCGCTTGTGTGCGTGCGTGTGTGTGAGCATGCGTACGTGTCCGCGCACCCCGACCTCACGCCCGCTGTCCGCGCCGGGCGTTTGTATGGGCATTACTTGCCATTTCCTCTCTTTCCTATTATTATTATTATTATTGTTTGTGCTCTCCGTACGGCCGTCCCCCGAATCCCCCTCGATGTATGTGGGGCAGCGTCCAACACGTCGCTTCTTGTTTTTGTTTTGCGAGTTTTTGTTTGTTTCCCCCTTCTTCTTTGTGTTCCTCTGCGGTGCGTGGTGCGGCCTCCGTTACGCGCACCTTTATGGCCTCTCCTGCTTTCCGTATCCGTCGTTGTCGAAGGTCAATGCTCTACTTCTGCGGTCCGCTGAGGTGGCGCAGCCCACGTTTCCGCCGGCTAGGTTCCGCGTCTTTTCGTTTCCTCTTCACTCGTGCGCTTGCGCACAAGGAGCAAATGTGAGAGGATCGATCTGTATTCCATGTATCGACGGTAGAAAATGCAGAAGAAAGAATGTACGTGGCAGGAGCAAGCCGTGCCGCGTCCTTCTTCTTTTCTTCTTTTACGGACGTGTTCTGGGGCTTCACTGCGACCTAGTCAACGTTGAAGAATATGGCTGAGGTTCCGCAGATGAGTCTGTCTGCGTGGCGCCCAAGCTTTTTCCCCTGAAGGCTACCGCATGTGTTCCCCTTGCGGTTTTCTCCTCTAATCGTTATCATTTCCGTTAGTGTTCAACCGTGTTTCTTCTCTCTTCCGGATGTTTTGCTAAGCGGGTCTTTGCAGGCGTCACTTTGCCTGGCCTTGCGGAGGGATTTCTTTGGATGGGTGAACTCCCTCATGTACGCCTCTCTTTCTTTTTGCGCAGGTGTCCTCACACGCCAACTCCGTCGCTGATGCGTTGCGATGTGTACTTTCCTCCTTGATCGTTTCACAGGAAAGATCTCGACGAGCATGTGGGACGATGTGCAGAGCCCCCCCCCCCCTGCTTTTTCTTTCTATTAGTTTGTGTGGTTTGTGTTTTCCGCACACGCGCGAACGCCAGCTACGTGTGCTTCCCGTGTGATTTTTCTCATTTCTTTTCTTCCGTTTTTGGAACTCACTTGAAATGAAAACGCTCTCTTCTTATTATTATGATTGTCAGCATTGCCGTTTATTGTCTCCACGTCCACCTGCGCACGCATTCCTTTCTCGACTCCCCCCTCAACTCTCTCTGCAGTCCTTGTGTTGTGGCTGTTCATGTTTCGCAGCCTAGTTGGTGAGGTGGGACGCACAAGCAACGCGAGTTCGACCTGTGCCGTGCTTCTGTATACATGGCGCCGCTGTGTAGTTCACGAGCTGACGACTGTTTATGTGGGACAGCGAAGGAAAGGAATGAAACGACAAGTTGCGTGTTGTTGTCGTGGCGAAGGGCGCTGAGGACAGAATAGCCATGCATGCCTTCTTTTATTACTACATTTCTCATATTAATTCTTCTATTTTATGGATGTTGACAAATATGATGAAGCACTTCTCTTCCTCTCATTTATGGTGATTGCTGGCAAACGTCCTCTCCTGGATGGCTTCACGTAACTCAGTGTTTAAAGGCCGGTTTTCGCTGAGGCGCCGCAATGCATTTTTGCACGTACGTACACACAACCCGAAGCAGCGCAGCGTCTTTTTTCATTATTGCTCCCTCTCTCTCATTTTCTTGTTTTCTGGTCTTTTCTTCGTACCCAGAGAATCGCGCAACCGTTCTTTTCCCCGTTCCCCTCCTGCGTTAAACAGAACACGCCGCCCAATGTATGTGTCTCTCAACGCTTCTTTACTAACATTTGTTTATGTGGCCGGTAAACCTCCTCTCTTCTTCGTTTGTGTTTCTTGACAAATCAATATATATGCTCTCTTCTCTCCTGCGTGCCCTTCTTGTCTTCCTGTCATGTGGCTCAAGTGAGCAACGCACACAGCAGGTGTTGCGTGTGTGTGGTGGCCGGCTACTTCTGGAAAATGGAGCCTGCAATGGCACTGTAAAGAACCGTGTCAAAAGGAGAAAGCGCCAAGAACGATGATAATAGTAGCGGAGCATTGGGGCTTCCGCGCCCACGGATGTGTTGTAGAGAGGCGGATCGCTCCGTTGATCAAATGCAGCGGTGTCGTCAAGGCGGCGTGTGGAAAGACAGCGCCCATGAAGACTTCCTGTTCGCACCGTGGTGATTCGCCCCGCCAGCACGCTTCTGTAGGCCTCGGCGGAACTCGTCGCAGGTGACTGGCGTGAGGCGCGGAAGCGAATATCGCCACCTCCGCACTACCTCGCATTCGCTGTTTTGCCCGCTGCGAAGCCGTCACAAGTGCTTCCTTTTGCATGGACGCAGACGCGCTCCGAGTCGGAGTAAAAGCAAGGTGCCTGATGGGGAAAAAGAAAGGCGGTGTCACTGTGGCAGCCATAAAAGGTGTCCAATCCTCTTCCCCCTCCCCCCTCTTTACGCGTCCAGTAGGCGATGAACGGCTCTGGTCCGCCGCCGCTCTTCTTCTGCACTTTCCCCTCGCCCCTCCCTCCCTCTCTCCCTCTCTCTCTCTCGTGCTCCACCCACGTACACGCCGCGCATGCGACCTCCGCAGATCCAAAAGCTAACAGCTTCGCCTTTCCGCAATCCACACTCAATACACCCACGTCCACACAGCAACCTATACGCAAACGCTAAAAGAGGGAAAAGAACAAAAACACCGCCCACGATGACCCCCTCCTCTCCACGCCGCTGCGCTGTTGCGCTGCTGTGCGCCGCACTGGTGCTCGCCGCCGTGTGCGCGCGTGCCGCCTCCATCGTCGTCAATGGCGACATCTCCCAGTCCGGCGACACCTTCAACGGTGACAAAATCACCTTCGAACTCGACTCCGTCAGGGCGGACGTCGTGACGGTGCAGCTGATGAACTCGAAGGTCGCGGGCGACGGTCTGACCATCCAGGGCTACATCAACTCCGTGCCGGCAGCCGTGACCACGCGCATCAGCATGAGCGTCACCTCCACCACTGTCACCAGCTCCGTCATCGCCTTCACCGACTACATGCCGCCAAACTCCGACATCCGCCTGGCCGCCACCACCGGCACACTGACCGCCGCGCAGTCGCTGTTCGACTTCAGCGGCCTCACACTGGAGAAGAACGTGACCGTCACGGTGGAGGAGTCCAGCGTCACGTGGCCCAGCGGGTCCACCAACACCGGCAGCATCGTCACGTACAACTCCGGCGGCAGCGGCTCGAGCATCAGCAAGAACAGCGCGCTCTTCATCCTCAACGCCACCGCCACCAACGGCGCGTCGGTGCTGCACATCAGCACGGGCTCCGTCTTCCCCGTCTCGGACAGCAGCGTGCTGGCGGTTGACTACGGCCATTGCATCGGCTGCAGCAGCGCGATGGTCGACATCGGCGTTGCGCTGCAGGTGGACGGCTCCAGCGTGTTCCGTGTCACGAAGAGCACCGTGGTGGGCGGCGACAAGGGCCTGCTCAGCTCCACCGGCGAGGTCAGCGTGACCGATCAGTCGCTGTACCTGATTGCCGACTGCATCATCGAGGCCGGCAGCTTCTTCAACTTCGCCGACTCCGGTGACACCGCTTTCAAGTTCGTTGTGACCCAGTCCACCGTGTCTTTCCTCGACCTCGTGGGGCCCAGCACCGGCATTCTCAGCCCCAAGGTCGTCCCCACCACCAACGACGGCACTGGCGTCGTCATCGCCGGCGGCTGCACCATCGCCGACACCGCCCTAACCACCATAGACGCCTACAGGGAGAAGGGGATCGATGCGACCAAGGTGGTGGACAGCAACGGCGCCGCCGACAGCACCTGCGCCAACGCCCAGTGCGTGCCCGGCCACTCCAAGCCCGGCTCCCCCGAGGAGGCCGGCATCGAGTGCTCCTGCACCTGCACTGAGAGGGCCTACAACCCGCCCGCCTGCACCACCGCCAGCGACCCCACGCAGACCTACGACGACACCGCCACGTGCACGGTCCTGAACTGCGCCACCTGCGACCGCCTCTATCCGAGCTCGCGCTGCACGCAGTGCAACCCCGGCTACGAGCTCTCCCCCACCTACCAGTGCGACGCAACCACCACCACCACCACCACCACCACGACCACCACCGCCGTGTGCAACGTGCAGTATTGCATAAAGTGCGACCCCAATGACGGCTCCAAATGCACCACGTGCCGCAACGGCTACAAACTCGTCAGCGGCTCCTGCATCGCCAACATCGACGGTGCCGCCGCCGTGCAGTCCGTCCTGCTCGCAGCGGCGGTGTGCGTCGCTGCCGTCTACACCCTGTAGGCACGGCGCGTGCGCTTGTGTGCGTGCGTGTGTGTGAGCATGCGTACGTGTCCGCGCACCCCGACCTCACGCCCGCTGTCCGCGCCGGGCGTTTGTATGGGCATTACTTGCCATTTCCTCTCTTTCCTATTATTATTATTATTATTGTTTGTGCTCTCCGTACGGCCGTCCCCCGAATCCCCCTCGATGTATGTGGGGCAGCGTCCAACACGTCGCTTCTTGTTTTTGTTTTGCGAGTTTTTGTTTGTTTCCCCCTTCTTCTTTGTGTTCCTCTGCGGTGCGTGGTGCGGCCTCCGTTACGCGCACCTTTATGGCCTCTCCTGCTTTCCGTATCCGTCGTTGTCGAAGGTCAATGCTCTACTTCTGCGGTCCGCTGAGGTGGCGCAGCCCACGTTTCCGCCGGCTAGGTTCCGCGTCTTTTCGTTTCCTCTTCACTCGTGCGCTTGCGCACAAGGAGCAAATGTGAGAGGATCGATCTGTATTCCATGTATCGACGGTAGAAAATGCAGAAGAAAGAATGTACGTGGCAGGAGCAAGCCGTGCCGCGTCCTTCTTCTTTTCTTCTTTTACGGACGTGTTCTGGGGCTTCACTGCGACCTAGTCAACGTTGAAGAATATGGCTGAGGTTCCGCAGATGAGTCTGTCTGCGTGGCGCCCAAGCTTTTTCCCCTGAAGGCTACCGCATGTGTTCCCCTTGCGG